GGGAGAGCACGATCTGCAACCTATCTCCTCTAAAAATGGTACCCTGTGGAGTCCATACTCAACCTGTCTGCTTCCCACACCACCGCGCCTGCACATTGGGGCCTCCTGCCCTCCCTCTCCCCCCCTCGTTTTCCGCCGCATGGGCATCGCAGACGCTGAAAAGCCAGCAATTCATGCAGAGCCCCCTGAAGGGGATGCCCCCCATACATCCTGACAATTGCAAAACCCTCCTCACCCTCGCCGACACCAAGCCTACGTCCTCCCCAACCCCAGGTAGGGTAAAGATGTAGAAGACAACTCTGTTCCCTCTTCCCTCCTCACCTGTCTCCCCATCCCAGGACTCCGCTGCGTTGCCGTAGCGTTGCTTGTACTTCTTGCTCTCGCCCTTGCATTAATCGTTGATTTTCCCATCGCGTAGGACATTGCGCTGCGATGTGGTCACTGCCCCTTTTTTGTGGGTTTTATGCTTGCCCCTTTGACATAACGAAGATTGAGTAGGAGTCCCCATCCCCAGTCGAGGGTTTTATAGGGTTTTTTAGAGAATTTTAAGGGAAAAAAACCTTCGGCTTTCCCAACAAGGGTCCATCACGCCAAGTCCCCGTGTCGCCAAATGTATCGTTCCATATTGGTCATCTTTTTGGCGACGTTTTAAAACATTCATCAGTTCAAAAAAAACATTACGCACCCTTTATCCAAATGTAAAACCTGATAATCATGGGTGGACGTAAAACCAGGGTTTTAAACCGGCTTAACCACACCCGGTCCCGGCCACCTATTTTCATGGGGCTGCTCTGCCGGAATTTGACCCAAAGCCTTGAAAAACCCTTCAAACACGCCATAGGCTCTATTTGCGATCCCCTCGTGCCTTATATCGCCGTCAACAAAAGATGGGGTTCTGACTTTGAGCGTCCCTTCCCAATTCAAGACAAAAAAGTGTTGACACGTCTAGTCCCCTTCCGCCCTTATGAAAGTACTGAGGAAAAAATGCACAGAAACCAGCGATGCGACTGCGCAGCCGCCACACAGCCCGGAGCGATGAGGACAATGTCAGGAGAATTAAACGTTGGTATGCTGAAGTTGAAGACAGAGTAAAAACAACTGAAGCTAAAAACATGTTTATAAAATTGCTCACAAACGTGTCCAGAAAACGCAACAGACAAAAAAATACCCTTTCTCCGTGGACTGCTTGAGAGGCAAAGGCAATGTTCCGGCTTTTACTGAGACCCAATAAAGGATCACTTGGACAACGAAATAGGATCCCAGGTTAAAACCTATAAAGGGGACAGAGTGAAAGGCAAAAGGGGGGGGGGGGTTGGCCTGACATTGCAGAGTCACTTGTTTTTCACAGAAAACTGCTTAATGCCTCAAAAGATTGTGGAAGTTTTGCGTAAAGGGGCGAGAACCAAAACCCCAGTCTTGTTGGGAGTTACAAGCCTTCCCGGGTTGCAAATCCCGCAATTCCAGGACGCTGTTAAAAAAATTGACCACTGTCTGAAAAAACTTCCCGCCCTGCACCCCAAAAATCTTGTCCTGGGAGATTTAACTTAAGGCACCTAAAAAGGGGGAAATTTGCAAAATATTGTTGCGTAAAAAAACCAGGAGGCAGTCCGAGAAAACTACACTCACCGAGCTTTTAAATCTCTGCACAAATTCAAAATTTAAACCAGCAAAAAAATAGGCCCACTAGATGGAATACACAGCCTCATCTTCACTAACAATGATGATCTGACAAGAAAATGTCACATATCAAAAACAATATACTAGATAAAAAATAAAATTTAGGTTCAGCATGTTTTCGTGGGCCCCCGACCGACATAAAAGAGATGTCACGAGGGAGATTCACCAATTCAACTTCAAAACAAAAACAAAAAAAGTGGGACCAAGTAAACCAAGTCCCAACCCAAAATAAGTGGGGAAGATATTAAGAACACAGACCCCAATTATGCCTAAACAGATTAACTCGGGGGGCACTCGTTTATGCACAAGGCTTTTCCTTAAAAAAAGGGGGAGTAGTTTTAAAATTGAAGGACAGGCGCTCCCTTTACAGGCGACGGAAAAGAAAACAGAGCGGCTAAAAGAGGTCAATATTCTGAAATGCGTAGGGAGGAAATGGGCAGAGAAATAGCAAGCATCAAACTTAAACTTAAAAAATCCTTTAGGGTCAGGAAACGGGGGGAAGAACTAAAAGCCATAAATGAAATCGAGAGAAAACCCAAAGTTTTCTTCTCTTCCCAAATCAAATCGGAACACGTCCGTTTTGGGGCCCCTACTTAAACAAGATGGGCCCTACACAGTGACAGAAAGGAAAATGAGGAGCTACTAAAGCCCCAATATGACTCGTTTTTGCAAGCCGCAAACCCAGACTGAGAGTCGAAGATCAAAATGAATTTTTTTTTGGAGAGCCAAAATTTGATTAAACAAGCCTATCCTTTTTGTTATCTGACGCAAATGATTCGAAAAAGGCGGATAAATGATTGCCCATGACTTGCCCCCGGGCCAGATAGGAACTCTGTGTTCTCAAGAACTGCAAGAAGCCCCTATCACGACCTTTTCCTCCTATGGGGGGAGCAGGAACGGGGGTGTCCCCCTTCTAAAAACAAAACATAGCCCCCTCACAAAGGGGCAGTAAAGCAACAGCAAAGAATACGACCAAAAAGCACTAACATCCCTTTTAAAAATCTTTTAAAGGGGGCCCAAGAAGCAAGATCACCACCCTTAGGAACCCCTCAGTTTCACAAAACCCGGGAACATGGGTTTAGGAAAGGTCGCTCCTGTCTGTCTCAACTATTGGATCACTACGACAAGGGTCCTAAATGCACTAGAAGACAAAAAGAATGCAGATGTAATATATACAGACTTTGCAAAAGCCTTCGACAAGTGTGACCATGGCGTAATAGCGCACAAAATGCGTGCTAAAGGAATAACAGGAAAAGTCGGTCGATGGATCTATAATTTCCTCACTAACAGAACACAGAGAGTAGTCGTCAACAGAGTAAAGCCCGAGGCAGCTACGGTGAAAGCTCTGTTCCACAAGGCACAGTACTCGCTCCCATCTTGTTCCTCATCCTCATATCCGACATAGACAAGGATGTCAGCCACAGCACCGTGTCTTCCGTTGCAGATGACACCCGAATCTGCATGACAGTGTCTTCCATTGCAGACACTGCAAGGCTCCAGGCGGACATCAACCAAATCTTTCAGTGGGCTGCAGAAAACAATATGAAGTTCAACGATGAGAAATTTCAATTACTCAGATATGGTAAACATGAGGAAATCAAATCTTCATCAGAGTACAAAACAAATTCTGGCCACAAAATAGAGCGAAACGCCAACGTCAAAGACCTGGGAGTGATCATGTCGGAGGATCTCACCTTGAAGGACCATAACATTGTATCAATCGCATCTGCTAGAAAAATGACAGGATGGATAATGAGAACCTTCAAAACTAGGGAGGCCAAGCCCATGATGACACTCTTCAGGTCACTTGTTCTATCTAGGCTGGAATATTGCTGCACACTAACAGCACCTTGCAAGGCAGGTGAAATTGCCGACCTAGAAAATGTACAGAGAACTTTCACGGCGCGCATTTAAAGGAGATAAAACACCTCAATTACTGGAAGCGCTTGAGGTTCCTTTAAAACCCGTATTCCCTGGAAAAGCAGGAGGGAGAGATACATGATTATATACACCTGGAAAATCCTAGAGGGACTAGTACCGAACTTGCACACGAAAATCACTCACTACGAAAGCAAAAGACTTGGCAGACGATGCACCATCCCCCCAATGAAAAGCAGGGGTGTCACTAGCACGTTAAGAGACCATACAATAAGTGTCAGGGGCCCGAGACTGTTCAACTGCCTCCCAGCATACATAAGGGGGATTACCAACAGACCCCTGGCAGTCTTCAAGCTGGCACTGGACAGGCACCTAAAGTCAGTTCCTGATCAGCCGGGCTGTGGCTCATACGCTGGTTTGCGTGCAGCCAGCAGCAACAGCCTGGTTGATCAGGCTCTGATCCACCAGGAGGCGTGGTCACAGACCGGGCCGCGGGGGCGTTGACCCCCGGAACTCTCTCCAGGTAAACTCCAGGTAAATTTTGTCAAGGTTGGGAACCAAAGCAATCATAGTACTAGGGGGAAAGAACACAACTTTGTAGTAGCCACAGTCAGTGGCCAGGCTTCAAACACCTTTTATTGTACAGCAATAAAGGAATGGAACAGACTGCCCGTACATGTCAAAGCCAGTCATAGCATGAACCAGTTCAAGAAGAGTGCCAAAAGGTGTCTGGTGAATGTAGCTACAGAAAGGGAGGGGAATTATTTTATTTTTTTAGCTAACACAAGTGTAATTTTACCTTATTCCTAGTAATGACCTTATTCTTTAATGACCCTCGTGTAGTAGATAATATTTTTAGTATGATAATAAGATGTTATCTCCATTATAGAATAATAATAAGATATCACCTTTATATTATAACAATAAGGTAAAAGGACCCCAATAGAAATAAGTCACTCTGTCTGACTTTTTTGGGTTATCCCAGGTTCTCTACACATATACTGCTATGTATGATAATCTATATAACTATTTGTGTATACCTGAATAAACTTACTTACTTAGGACGAAGTCTACAGAGCGAAATGTGTATGTGTGTATCTGTATCTGCGTATCACACCTGTCCATGTTCACCTAGCACTAAGTAGGTACTTGGGTGTTAGTGGACTGGTGTGGGTGGCATCCTGGGGACAAAACTAACCTAACTTACGGGAAATGCTCTGCATAACCAGGAACTTTCTGTATAGTACATCATTGATGTCAGCTATGGTCTGTATAAGTTGTATCATGTACTTGTAGAAATAAATATTATTATTATTATTATTATTATTATTATTATTATTATTATTATTGTTATTATTATTTTTGTTATCCTTTTATTATTATTATTATTATTCATACGGGTTAGAGCTGTCATATAATTGTAATAAGAGTACTGATGGTGTGTGGCACAGATGGTGTGTGTGTCGTCTGATGCTGTGTTGTGCTGTGACAGTATACCAGGGATGGGACGTGCAGCATTCTCACAGCTGCTGCATCACCCTAACCTCTCTCCAGCCTCAGAGATCTCTCTCTTCCACGCTCTCACTGCCTGGTATGTACAGTAGTGGTAGTAGTTAGTGTAGTGGTATTAGTGGTGGTTGTAGTAACATTTTAGATCAAATATATTTAATTGGATTAGGCTAAATTAAATTGCCCTTGTTATAATAAGGTTAGGTAAGTTTTCTAAGGTTCTTTTGGTACAAAATTATTAATTTTTACATTAACATAAATGAAAAAAATATGTATCTTTAAACATATAAGAGAAAATTTAAGGACTTAATTTAAACGACTTCTTGCTAATTGACCAGTTTGACGTATTATATATATATATATATATATATTTATATATATTTTTATATATATATATAATATATATATATATATATATATATATATATATAAAAATATATATATATAATATAATATATAATATATATATTATATATATATATATATTTATATATATATTATATATATATATATATATAATATATTATATAAATATATATATATATATATATATATTTATATATTATATATATATATATATATATATATATATATATATATATATATATATATATATTATATATATATATATATATATATATATATATGAGTTTGAAGAAAATAACTCATTGCCTTTTCTAGATGTTTTAATTATTAAGGGTAATAATGAATTCAAATTTAAAATTTACAGAAAACATACAAATAACTGTTCCTATGTCCACTATTATTCTTCCCATCAAGATAGAGTTAAACTGTCTGTTTTCTCATCAATGTTTTTGAGAGGTTTACGTATTTGTAGTCCTGAGTTCATAGATGAAGAAATATCCAAAATTTATGAAATAGGTAATGATCTGAAATACCCAAGAAATGTAATTGAAATACTTTTAACAATCCAAAAAGGGACAACCAGCCTTATTCAACTAAAAATATGTTGGTTCTCCCTTACCATGAAAACTTGGTTGATATGCCTTCTCTTCTTAAGACTTTTAATATTAAAGTTGTATTTAAAAATCTTGATACAGTAAAAAAACTTTTGATAAAGAATTTCCCCCAAAATGCTGATGGATGTGTCTATAAGATTCCTTGTAAAATTTGCGATAAAGTTTATTACGGTCAAACTGGTAAAAATCTCGAACTAAGATTAAAACAACATAAATATAGCATTAGAACTGGACAAGATTTTAATGCTCTATTTATTCATGTAAGAGATTTTATCCATCCAATTGATTTTCAAAAAGTTGAGAAAGTAGTATCAAGCAAGTCCATGGTCGACAGGAATACAGTGGACCCCCGGTTAACGAACTTTTTTCATTCCAGTAGTATGTTCAGGTGCCAGTACTGACCGAATTTTTTCCCATAAGGAATATTGTGAAGTAGATTAGTCAATTTCAGACCCCCAAACATACACGTACAAACGCACTTACATAAATACACTTACATAATTGGTCGCATTTGGAGGTGATCGTTAAGCGGGGGTCCACTTATAATTGAATCTTGTTTCATAAAAAGCAGTTTTGACAATAATATGAATATTTCCTTAGGTTTATGTAAATTAGATTCATTTATAATTAATCAAATTTGGGAATAATTTAATAATACACTGGACAAATAATAAATTTTAAAATTCTTAATTCTTGGGTAGAATAGTTTGTTTGTGGGTTGTGTGAAGGACCTGTCTAGTTGGGCCAGCAGGCCTGCTGCAATGTTCCCTTTCTTATGAGTCGCGTGTCAGGTGTTGCTTTGTTGTGGGATGTGATAGTGAGGTGTGGGATAGACCCTTTATATGCCTTCCTTTGATGCATTGCTTTCATTGTTCCTTGATAATGTGAGTAGTCACGAAAACGCTTGGAATTTCCCTATTCTTTCACAGTGGTTGTTTTGCATATACATGTATATATATATATATATATATATATATATATATATATATATATATATATATATATATATATATATATATATATATATATATATTGTCGTTCCGAATATGTAAAACTGGTCAATTAGCAAGAACTCATTCAAAATTAAGACCTTTCTAAAATTTTCTCTTGTACGTTTAAAGATATATTTTTTCATTAGTGATAATGTAAAAAAAATTTAATTTTGCACCAAAAGAAACTTAGAAAACTTACCTAACCTTATTATAACAAGAACAATTTATTTTAGCCTAACCCAACTAAATATATTTTAGATTTGTTTACAATAATTTAATACTAAACAAACACAGTGAAATATATTTTTTTCGTTAGGTTCAAAATGATTTTGGCGAAATTATTGCATACACAAATTTTCACTTGTCCTATATGGCAAGATGAGCGTTGCTATTTAAGCCAAGATCGCAAGTTCTGCCTATTCGGCACGACATATATATATATATATATATATATATATATATATATATATATATATATATATATATATATATATATATATATAATATATATATTATATATTATATATTAATATATATATATATATAATATATCCTTATTCATATTTTCTACTACCAGTAAAAGTTTTTATTATTTTTACATGAAGTAGTGCCAATATATATTTCTTTTATTTATATGTAGTTGTCATTAACTTTTTTTTGAGCAGGGGTCGAGCGCAAGTATTGAAGCAGGGTAAAGCAGGAGGACTCCGAAGCCAGCATTTACTTGCAGCGTCACCCACTCCAGGGGAGCACCCTGCCACCTGTCTAAGTCATAAGGTGAAGCAGTTTCTTCCCCAGGTGAAGGTGGGAGAAGGAGAGTCACCAGGAAACCATTGCCATGGGAGTGAAGTACAAAACACAGGTTACCTGGAGTCATCTAACCCTCCCAGGACGCCACAACGTGGAATAGATGACTCCATTGTCAGGGTCCTTCGTAGAGTGGTGGATGAATTCCTACCTTGCGTCCGCTTCCTTACAATGACCACTGATGAGTATGTACAACACGTTCTTCCCTCTGCTATATTAACCAGCGAGGAGAGTGTAGCAATACTCATGAACATCAGAGATATACCAAATGTTCCCCTGCCAAGCTTTGTTACCTCTCTGAGTAAATACAAGAGGAAGAACAAATTAAATTCCGCTAGTTTGTTAATTTGCCAACACCACCACACCAGAAATGATCAAGAAATTCTCCGAGATTTCAAAGTTCCCAAAACAATACATCTGACCCAAGTTACAGCTCCTGGAGTTACTAGTTTAACAGAGACGTCAGTCAAAATCTTCTCTGGAAGCAAGACAGTTACAGTGGGACGCTGGCAAGGAATAGGTTGTAAATTTGATCCGGCGGTTGAGTTAGAAGTTGGTGTAAGTTATTCAGTAGTGGTAGAGGGAGCTTATGGCCCCTGTGTAGGGTGTGAGTGCCGTGTGCTGAGTGACGCTGATGATATGCACTGCAGTGGTAAAACATTGGCTCTCACACCTGTCTTTCTAGAATACTGGGACACCTAGGTACCTATTTTGGTACTAGGTAAACAGGGACAGCAGGTGTCTTAAGGAAACACGTCCTAATATTTTTACCCGTACCGGGGATCGACCCCCGGACCTTAGTGTGTGAGCTAAGTGCTCTACCAACCCAGCTACGGGACACCTTACAAAAGTAGCCTGATGATTCACGTTGGCTGTGAAGAAATGTCTTCTATGTTGCATGCTTGCAATTGATATAGGAAATATATAATCAGTATATTTATAATTTATTCCCTATATCCATATATGATTAAAAAAGGCGAAGGTGCTATAAAGAAACCGGAGTCGAGGGTTTTATGTGCCGACTCCACAGTCCTGTAATTAAAATATCGTGTAGCAGTTAGGTATCTTTATTGATGAAATGTTTCACATGCACAGTAGCGTTCTTCAGTCATATACAGAGGCAGCAGGTGTAGTAGTTAAACGAAGATGATGTAATTAGTCCCTCAGCCTGGAGAAGAGTTCAGCTTCATGGTCTGGAACGATATCGTTCCAGGCTGAGGGACTGACCACCTCAAATACTATTTCTCTAAGATTGATTGACTTTTTTGTGTTATCCCAGGTTCTCTACACATATGCTGCTATGTATGATAATTCTATGTAACTGTATTTGTGTATACCTGAATAAACTTACTTACTTACTTACTTACTTACTTACTTTATCTTCATTACTACACCTGTTGCTTCTGTATTTGACTGAAGAAGTCTACTGTGTAGGCGAAACGTTTCAACAATAAAGAGACCCAACTGTCTTAATCATTATATAGGCTAGCCGTTGCTGGATGCCAAGGTATAACAGCCTGGTTGATCAGGCCCTGATCCACCATGAGGCCTGGTCACAGACCGGGCCGTGGGGGTGTTGACTCCCGAAACCCTCTCCAGGTATACCCTCTCCAGGTATACCCTCTCCAGGTATACCCTCTCCAGGTATACCCTCTCCAGGTATACCCTTTCCAGGTATACCCTCTCCAGGTATACCCTCTCCAGGTATACCCTCTCCAGGTATACCCTCTCCAGGTATACCCTCTCCAGGTATACCCTCTCCAGGTATACCTTCTCCAGGTATACCCTCTCCAGGTATACCCTTCCAGGTATACCCTCTCCAGGTATACCCTCTCCAGGTATACCCTCTCCAGGTATACCCTCTCCAGGTATACCCTTTCCAGGTATACCCTTCCAGGTATACCTCTCCAGGTATACCCTCTCCAGGTATACCCTTTCCAGGTATACCCTCTCCAGGTATACCCTCTCCAGGTATACCCTCTCCAGGTATACCCTCTCCAGGTATACCCTTTCCAGGTATACCTTCTCCAGGTATACCCTCTCCAGGTATACCCTCTCCAGGTATACCCTCTCCAGGTATACCCTCTCCAGGTATACCCTCTCCAGGTATACCTTCTCCAGGTATACCCTCTCCAGGTATACCCTTTCCAGGTATACCCTCTCCAGGTATACCCTCTCCAGGTATACCCTTTCCAGGTATACCCTCTCAGGTATACCCTCTCCAGGTATACCCTCTCCAGGTATACCCTTTCCAGGTATACCTTCTCCAGGTATACCCTCTCCAGGTATACCCTCTCCAGGTATACCCTCTCCAGGTATACCCTTTCCAGGTATACCTTCTCCAGGTATACCCTCTCCAGGTATACCCTTTCCAGGTATACCCTCTCCAGGTATACCCTCGTTCTCCAGGTATACCTCCTACCTCTCCAGGTATACCCTCTCCAGGTATACCCTCTCCAGGTATACCCTCTCCAGGTATACCCTCTCCAGGTATACCCTCTCCAGGTATACCCTCTCCAGGTATACCCTCTCCAGGTATACCCTCCAGGTACCTTCCAGGTACTTCAGTAACCCTCTTCCCTAGGTATACCCTCTCCAGGTATACCCTCTCCAGGTATACCCTCTCCAGGTATACCTTCCAGGTATCCCTCTCAGGTATACCCTCTCCAGGTATACCCTCTCCAGGTATACCCTCTCCAGGTATACCCTCTCCAGGTATACCCTCTCCAGGTATACCCTCTCCAGGTATGCCCTCTCCAGGTATACCCTCTCCAGGTATACCCTCTCCAGGTATACCCTCTCCAGGTATACCCTCTCCAGGTATACCCTCTCCAGGTATGCCCTCTCCAGGTATGCCCTCTCCAGGTATGCCCTCTCCAGGTATGTCCTCAGGTCCCTCTCCAGGTATACCCTCTCCAGGTATACCCTCTCCAGGTATACCCTCTCCAGGTATACCCTCTCCAGGTATGCCCTCTCCAGGTATGCCCTCTCCAGGTATGCCCTCTCCAGGTATACCCTCTCCAGGTATACCCTCTCCAGGTATACCCTCTCCAGGTATACCCTCTCCAGGTATACCCTCTCCAGGTATGCCCTCATCCAGAGTGATGGTCCTCACCGTGAAGCCCTTCTTCCCAGTATCACACTGAATCTCCATATTCCCTCTCTATATCAGGATGACCCTTCCAGGTATACCCTGCTCACGTGCTATACCCTTCCTAGCGTATAAGTCCGATTTAGGGTCCAAAAAGTGAGGATCCTCCACTGCTGACATACATGTATATATCTAGATCACACTTGAAATTACTGTCCCTCTTTCCCCATAAATGACCCTATCCGTTCTGAGGATAATAGTACGTGCTAATACGAACGCTTGCCTCGTTATAGTATTAGATGTTCAATAAATACTGGAGTGTTTAGTAATACCTGAGCGTTGACGTAGTCTTGATCCACAGGTCTGAAACACTGTACTTTCCATCGTTCTTCAGGATGCACCTAAATTGCTTTGATCAGGTCACCTCGCGGCCAGTGGTATACGTGCCTAACACCTGCTGCCCATTTTCTAGCAGTAAATAGTACCTGGAAGGTTAGTCCCCTCTAAGTAGGATCCCTGACGCGCGTTGACGTGCTCTTGATCAAAAATGGATCTGAGATTCACTGTGGAACTTATTCCTTTCGTCCTCTTCCCCAGGATGCCACCCATAACATTCTGTTAGTATCTAGGTACCTACCTACTGCTAAATTAACTGGTACATCAATGGTAAGGAACACAACGTCTAGGGTTTAGCGATTTTCCTGAAATAGTTTACCTGGAAAGGGTTTCGGGGGTCAACGCCCCCGAGGCCCGGTCTTTGACCAGGCCTCATGATGGATCAGGGTCTGATCAACCAGGCTGTTACTGTTGACCACAAGCAACCCGACGTACGAACCACAGCCCGGCTGGTCAGGTACTGACTTTAGGTGCTTGTCCAGTGCCAGCTTGAAGACAGCCAGGGGTCTATTGGTAATCCCCCTTATGTATCCTGGGAAGCAGTTGAACAGTCTCGGGCCCCTGACACTTATTGTATGGTCTCTTAACGTGCGAGTGACACCCCTGCTTTTCATTGGGGGGATGGTGCATCGTCTGCCAAGTCTTTTGCTTTCGTAGTGAGTGATTTTCGTGTGCAAGTTCGGTACTAGTCCCTCTAGAATTTTCCAGGTGTATATAATCATGTATCTCTCCCGCCTGCGTTCCAGGGAATACAGGTTTAGGAACCTCAAGCGCTCCCAGTAATTGAGGTGTTTTATCTCCGTTATGCGCGCCGTGAAGGTTCTCTGTACATTTTCTAGGTCAGCAATTTCACCTGCCTTGAAAGGTGCATTTAGTGTGCAGCAATATTCCAGCCTAGATAGAACAAGCGACCTGAAGAGTGTCATCATGGGCTTGGCCTCCCTAGTTTTGAAGGTTCTCATTATCCATCCTGTCATTTTTCTAGCAGATGCAATTGATAGAATGTTGTTAGAGAGCAGGGTGTTAGGAAGTTACTAGAGTGCAGGGTGTTAGGAAGTTACTAGAGTGCAGGGTTGTTAGGAAGTTACTAGAGTGCAGGGTGTTAGGAAGTTACTAGAGTGCAGGGTGTTAGAAGTTACTAGAGTGCAGGTTGTTAGGGAGTTACTAGAGTGCAGGTGTTAGGAGTTACTAAGTGCAGGTTGTTAGGAATTACTAGAGTGCAGGTTGTTAGGAAGTTACTAGAGTGCAGGGTGTTAGGGAGTTACTAGAGTGCAGGTTGTTAGGGAGTTACTAGAGTGCAGGTTGTTAGGAAGTTACTAGAGTGCAGGTTGTTAGGAAGTTACTAGAGTGCAGATTGTTAGGAAGTTACTAGAGTGCAGGTTGTTAGGGAGTTACTAGAGTGCAGGGTGTTAGGGAGTTACTATAGTGCAGGGTGTTAGGGAGTTACTAGAGTGCAGGGTGTTAGGGAGTTACTAGAGTGCAGGGTGTTAAGGAGTTACTAGAGTGCAGGGTGTTAGGGAGTTACTAGAGTGCAGGGTGTTAAGGAGTTACTAGAGTGCAGGGTGTTAAGGAGTTATTAGAGTGCAGGGTGTTAGGGAGTTACTAGAGTGTAGGGTGTTAGGAAGTTACTAGAGTGCAGGATGTTAAGGAGTTACTAGAGTGCAGAGTGTTAGGGAGTTACTAGAGTGCAGGGTGTTAAGGAGTTACTGGAGTGCAGGGTGTTAGGGAGTTACTAGAGTGCAGAGTGTTAGGGAGTTACTAGAGTGTAGGGTGTTAGGGAGTTACTAGAGTGTAGGGTGTTAGGAGTTACTAGAGTTGTAGGGTGTTAGGGAGTTACTAGAGTGTAGGGTGTTAGGGAGTTACTAGAGTGTAGGGTGTTAGGGAGTTACTAGAGTGTAGGGTGTTAGGGAGTTACTAGAGTGTAGGGTGTTAGGGAGTTACTAGAGTGTAGGGTGTTAGGAGTTACTGAGTGCAGGGTGTTAAGGGAGTTATTAGAGTGCAGGTGTTAAGGAGTTACTAATGCAATGTGGCAAGGAAGTTAAGGGAGTTACTAGAGTGCAGGGTGTTAGGGAGTTACTAGAGTGCAGGGTGTTAAGGAGTTACTAGAGTGCAGAGTGTTAGGGAGTTACTAGAGTGCAGAGTGTTAGGGAGTTACTAGAGTGCAGGGTGTTAAGGAGTTATTAGAGTGCAGGGTGTTAAGGAGTTACTAGAGTGCAGGGTGTTAGGGAGTTACTAGAGTGCAGGGTGTTAAGGAGTTACTAGAGTGCAGAGTGTTAGGGAGTTACTAGAGTGCAGAGTGTTAGGGAGTTATTAGAGTGCAGGGTGTTAAGGAGTTACTAGAGTGCAGGATGTTAGGGAGTTACTAGAGTGCAGGATGTTAAGGAGTTACTAGAGTGCAGGGTGTTAGGGAGTTACTAGAGTGCAGGGTGTTAAGGAGTTACTAGAGTGCAGGGTGTTAGGGAGTTACTAGAGTGCAGAGTGTTAGGGAGTTACTAGAGTGCAGAGTGTTAAGGAGTTACTAGAGTGCAGGGTGTTAAGGAGTTACTGGAGTGCAGGGTGTTAGGGAGTTACTAGAGTGCAGAGTGTTAGGGAGTTACTAGAGTGCAGGGTGTTAGGGAGTTACTAGAGTGCAGGGTGTTAAGGAGTTACTAGAGTGCAGAGTGTTAGGGAGTTACTAGAGTGCAGGGTGTTAGGGAGTTTACTGAGGAGGTGCAGGGTGTTAGGGAGTTACTAGAGTGCAGGTGTTAGGGAGTTACTAGAGTGCAGAGTGTTAGGGAGTTACTAGAGTGCAAGGGTTAGGAGTTACTAGAGTGCAGAGTGTTAGGGAGTTACTAGAGTGCAGGGTGTTAGGGAGTTACTAGAGTGCAGGGTGTTAGGGAGTTACTAGAGTGCAGGGTGTTAGGGAGTTACTAGAGTGCAGGTGTTAGGGAGTTACTAGAGTGCAGGTGTTAGGGAGTTACTAGAGTGCAGGTGTTAGGGAGTTACTAGAGTGCAAGTGTTAGGAGTTACTAGAGTGCAGAGTGTTAGGGAGTTACTAGAGTGCAGGTGTTAGGGAGTTACTAGAGTGCAGGGTGTTTAGGGAGTTACTAGAGTGCAGAGTGTTAGGAGTTACTAGAGTGCAGGGTGTTAGGGAGTTACTAAGAGTGCAAGGTGTTAAGGAGTTACTAGAGTGCAGAGTGTTAGGGAGTTACTAGAGTGCAGGTGTTTAGGGAGTTACTAGAGTGCAGGTGTTAGGGAGTTACTAGAGTGCAAAGTGTTAAG